TTAGTAGGCTTCTAGCTTTTAGAAAGCTCTAAATTAGTTATTTTATTCCTTTTTATCTTATACTAATCTGAGATTATTTAATTAATTAATATAGAGTAACCTGATTTACCCTATAGTCTATAGGGTAAATCTTAATAATTTATATTCAGATAGGCTTTATATAGAAGAGAATTAAATTAAATTAAATTATTAAAAAGTTTATTAGAGTAAAAAGTTAAATTAAATAAGATTAATAAGATAGTATCTAGAATATAGTAGATTAGTTAATTACTATAATAGAATATTAATAAATAAAAATATAATAGCTAATTATAAAGTTATTATATACTAATTAAAATACTAAATATAGTTTTATATAGTAATATTTATATATAATATAGAGATAGTTTATAATAAATATATAAAAGTATTAGAAAATAAACCTTAAAAGAAATATAAAAAAAGCTCTAATTAATACTTTAATCTAAAAGAATTAATTAAATTATAGAGCTAACTTAAGGGGATAATAAGCTTAAGATAGAAGAAATATATCTTAAAGAACTAATTAATAACCTAGAGATAGATAATAAAATATAAGAAGAGAAAGAGTATATAAAAGATAATAAATACCTAATATATTATTTTACCCCTTTTCTAATACTATTTAAAAGCCTAGCTATAAGCCTCTTAATAAATTTAATTAAACTAGAAGGCTAGCTATAAGATAAAGAACTCTTTAGAAAACTATTAATTATACTTAATTAAGCTTTTTATACTAGAACTTTAATAATATCTTTAGTAAAGAATTAAAAAGAAGTTTAAACTAAGATAATATATAACTAATATAGATATAGTAAGTTAAAACTAAAGATTAAAGCTTAAACTATTTAAAAGCCTTTTAAATTCTAAGGTTAGATATATTATAGAAAGTAGCTACCTATTACCCTAGATATATTAAGAGATCTATAAGGGTATAAGTTTAAAAGAGAGTTTAAATAGATTAAAATTAATTATTTAAAGAGTTATAAATAAATAAAAACTTAAATTAAGATTTTAAGATTTAATTTATATATTTAAGACTTATAAATCCTAAACTATATATAGAGATATACTTATAAGTTTAATTAGTATAAGTATTTTTAAAAGTATAAAACTAGGCTTATTATTTAAGAAGATTAATAGTAGAAAGCTACTACTAAAGAAACCTATATAGCTACTTTAGTAGATAAATTATTTTAAACCCTTCTAGTAATAGCTATAAGATTTAATTTAAAAATACTATAATTTATATAGTTAATATATTTATAAATACTAATCTCCTAGATAATATATTTATATAAATACTACCTAGTTATAGGAAGTATAATAAGTAGTTATAAATCTTATTACTTAAGAAAGTACTTTATAAGCTTAGAATTATATTTCTTTTATAGTAAAAGAAGCTTAGTTTAACTCTATAAGACTTAAACTTTATACTAGTACTTTATAAACTTTATTATTATACTAAGTTAGAGATTCTTTTATTTTTCTATATAGATAATATAGTTATTATATATAAGAAGAGTAATAAAACTATAGTAGAAATAGTTATTAAAGCTCTAAAGGAGAAATATATTCTAATAGATAGAAATAAGCTTTAATAGTTTCTTAATATAAAGATAATATAAGATTATAATATATTATACTTATAGATAACTTATACTATATTTTTAGAAAAAATTTATAGCTTATATACTTTAGACTATAGAAATATAATACTAATAAGTAAAATAAAACTTATTCTAAATAATTTAATAATAATCTAAAAGATAGTAAATTAATATAAATAAGTAATTAGTTTAATTCTATATACTATAGTAATCTTAAGACTAGATATAGCTTTTATAGTTTCTTAGCTAATAAGATTTATAGTTAATCTAAGTTAATAATATTATAAAGCTATAAATTAAGTTTTAAACTATCTAAATACTACTTATTATCTAGTATTATAATTTAGAGAAGGAGATATATATATAGTCTATAGTAATATCTTATTTATAGATAATATAATTAATTATAAAAGCTTATAAGCCTATATAATAAAGCTATTTAATAGCCTAATTAAGTAATATACTAATAAGTAGAATATAGTTATAACTTTAATAACTAAAGCTAAGTTACTATTTCTAATATAAGTAGTAAAGAAAGAGTTATTCTAATAAAGACTAATCTTAGAACTAGAAGTTAAGCTTTAATTATCTAATTTATATCTTATATATAATAACTAATAAATAATTAGAATTCTTTAATAACTATTTAAAAAGTTAAAGATAAAGTTAAAATATATAGATATATATAACTATTAGCTATAAGAATATATTTAAAGGGAAACTATATATATTTCCTATAAATAAAATATAAAATTAATTACTAATAGACTAATTAAACCTCTATAAGGAACCTAATTTTAAAAAAGCTATAAGTAACTTAGATTAGTTAAGATAGAAGAAAGGATTTATAAAAAGAAAAGAGATAAACTTAAGGAAACCCTAATAGAAGATATTCTTTATATACTATATTAATAAGAGCTATATTATATATATAAGTATTAGAAGTAGTAAAAGAAACTATTTAATTCAGACTACTTAGACTACTCTTTATAAAAGAAATTTTAATCTAGAGGCTAAAGGCCTAATATAATAGTAAAAGAAAAATATTCTCTCAATAGGCTAAAGACCTAGCTAAAACTACTAAACTAAACTTATTTAATAGAGATAAGGATCTCTAGAAGAAGGGAAAGTATTAATATAATACTTATATAGAATAACTTTAATAGTAATATACTATTTACTTATTTTAGAATAGTAAGTATCTTTCTCCTATACTAATATCAGTATATAAGCTTTAAATAGATAAAATAAATACTTATCTCCTTAGAGAGAGACTCCTCTACCTAGATATAGTCTAGGAAGAATAAAGCTATAGGAATAATATCTATAGAACTAAATATCTAATACTAATTATAAAATAAGTATTAAACTAGGGAAAGAAAACTTATATTAGCTAATAGAAGCTATTTTAGTTATACTAGTTATAGTAACTAGGGAGGATATTACTATCTTTATTAGAATAGTTCTAATACTTACTAGTATTTATACTTATAAGAGTAGAGTAGAGATAGCCTTTATAGGGTACTATCTATAGTATTTAGATACTTTAAAATAGTTAAACTATATTTAAAATAAGAGATTAAAAATAAACTTACTTTTTAACTATCTAATAGGTAGCTTTATAAATAGCTTTAGCTACTTACTAAGCCTGATAAGTTACCTTATACTTAGTAAAGATTTTAATAGCTTTCTTCTTCTTCTTTACTATAGTAGTACTAGTAGCTTAGTAGTACTTAGAATATATATTAAGAGAGCTAAACTATATATTAATAAATAAAAATACTAATTTAAAGCTTAAAAAATAAAATTACTTATAAAGTAGGAGGAGATATACTAGCTATAGTAAAGAATATACTATTAATCTATTAGTTAATTCTTTAAAACTACTAAATAAAGCTAGGAAACTACTTACTACTTATAAGAAAGAGAAAGAGAGATTAAAAAATTAATTTCTATTATAATATTAGCTAACTACTAAATACTAAGGGAATTATAATATATAAATTATACTAAAGAAATACTTATAACTTTATAAAAGAGCTAAAGAAAAAAGAAAAAGAAAATGCTTTCTATAAGATTACTATAAAGATATTTATTTAAGAGCTATATTACTCTTTTATCTATTAAATTATATTATTATATATATTTAATAAGAGTATTTACTTTATAGCTTATCTTATAGCTTATATTTATAATTATAAGTCTATTTAAAATATAAGATAATAGCTATAATAATTAAATATACTTATTATCTAATTAAATTACTCTTATTTATTTAAAATACCTCTTAAAAGATTTAATAAATAATTAAACTTTTCTCTATAATAATACTATAGGTCTAGATAAATATATCTAGGCCTAAGAGAGTATATTAGAACTAAGGTATTATATAATTCCCCCCGATTAGTTAGAAAGAAGAGCTATTTACTTGTAACAGGTCACGGGTAACCAGGTATAACAGTCTTATAGAGGAAGAGGCTTTATTACAGTACTAAAGCTTAGAGAAGCAAGTTCTTCTCTAAGGGTTCGCTGCGGGATTTTCCCCTTTTACTAAAGGAGTCTTGCCCGATTTGCGAGGTGACGATGTGGTCACATGACCTTATCGCTTATCTGTTACATTACTTTAAATATATCTTATTTCCCAGTTTAGAAGAGTATTAGGCCTAAAGAAGTAGCCCATAGCAATTTATATAATAATTTCCTCCGGAAGCATTGGAGATATATAATTAGAGATAAATACAACTATACAGTTATGCCTATCTGCAGTCTGTAATCCAACACCTGTATATCCATATTTGCTGTACATCTTATGAAAAGCTACATGCACTAGTTTGACTGCAAAATGACGGATCGGTCTAGAACTGGTACATGAGTTCTAGAGGAGGTTGGTCAGAACGATTGAATGAGAGGCATAAGGAGAAATGCCTCTCCGACCTTGCTGCCATCTTGACCAAGAGGGAAAAGCTTCACCACCAAGGCGCCATACTTTAGGTGCTCCGCCTCTCGCCGGCTGTCGCTATGAGTTTCTATGACAAACTGCCGAGGAGTTGCTATATGCAGACCGTTACTAGTCAAAACCTTAATAGCTAGTGGCAAGAAAACGGTGACCTGCCCCCATTATCTCACTGGGGCACTTTAAACGTCTCGACAAAAAAGTTTTTCCCTTTGAACACAGAAATCGAATGCCCAGTCATTCTATTTACGTTCTTTCCAGATATTTGGGTTGGAAAGGATCTTCATACATTTGGTAAGTTACCGTTCACACATACATATACCAACGGCTTATCAGTGTTTAACATACACAGAGCTCTTGAAAACCATGATATTTCCTCCATCTTGACTTCCCCCAGGTATGACGTCGTTGGGTGTAACATGACCACCGCTGAATCCGGCGAGAGCCCAAACTCGCCGAGCAGTCTCACCAACAGATTTCTCCTCGTCGCGTTTGTGTCCGTCGCTCTCTACAATGTTCTCGAGCTCACCTTTATGGTCTTTTCCACTTTCAAAAAGCGTACCGGTCTGTATTTCTGGAGTTTCTGCATCGCCATCTGGGGCATCCCGCCCTATTCAATTGGATTTCTCCTCAAAGGCATCGGCGCCAACCCAAATGCTACCTACGCATATGTGACTCTGATCGTCATCGGTTGGTACAGCACCGTCACTGGTCAGTCCGTTGTTCTGTACTCGCGACTCCATCTCGTGGATCGAAAAAAGAAGCACCTTCGCTTTGTCCTCGCAATGATAGTTTTCAACGCCGTCACTCTCCACTCCGTCACAACTGTCATGGTGTTCGGCTCGAACTCGCCGAATTATTCAGATCGCTTCGTTACACCTTACTCTATTGTCGAGAAGATTCAAGTTACCATATTTTTTTTCCAGGAGCTCATCATCTCGATGCTTTACATTTTCGCTACTGTCAATCTGTTCCGTGGCTCTATTATTCACGCAAAGTCGAATCGCGCTCGCACCCTTAGGCATCTCATAGTGGTCAATATTGTGGTCATCCTTCTTGATATTACTATTCTCGGACTTGAATACGCCAATCTATACCAGCTCCAAACTGCGTACAAGGGCATGGCTTACTCTATCAAACTCAAACTTGAATTCAATATCCTCAACGAACTCGTCAAACTCACCAGGTCACACTCTGATTCTGCTGCTGTTGATCTGAACGACTACGTCTTCGATGGTAGACATCAAAACTCCACACGAAGGGAATCGTCAAGACAGTCAGGAATTTCTCCCACGACCCTTTCTTCAAGACGGACTGAGAGTCGTAGGGCGACAATATCGAATCAAAGGATAGAAGAAGAGGATGGACTGGAGGTTGAGCCGGCGGGTTCTGCCCATGTCCCTGATAAGTCGGCAATCCGGTATCGCCGCGAGGAGAGGATATGGGTGACGCAGACGATTGACGTTGACTTTGGCGATGCCCGTGACGCAGAGGCAGATATACCTCCAGATCAAGAGCTGAACCAACTATCCAACCCCAAAGACCCTAGTTGAGGCTGATGCAACAAAGCTATGAGTTCCTACCGTTATTGAGTATATCAAGGACTGATACTTGCACGTGGGGCTGGCTCTTACTGTCGGAATGGGCAAATATGGGATCACTTAGCTGTCGGAATGGGCTTGGTTCCCTGCTCGTCTTATCTCTTCTACATCTTTAAATAGCAAAACCAATTTCAAATTGGATAATATATCTACTATCTATTATTATAAACTGCCCTATACAATAGTAGCTTCCACTCTATAGTCTTTAGAATATTTTTTCAATCAGTTAAGGTACTTTTATTTACTTTATTCTATATTCCTTTCTATAATCCTTAGAATGGGCCCCTACATATAGTATAGAATAGATTATTTTAGACCATTTTTAGGCTTACTAAAGGTCCTTCTTATACACATAGGTACTATACAGTATGGAAAAGAGGCACGTAGTGTCAGCATGAGAAGCTGATACCTCCAAGCATTTACAAGATACAGAGTAGTAGTTTGATTACTTAAGTTGAGAATTACTAAGCAGGGCCTTCGAGTTGGCCCGTCCAAGTTACAGGTCAATCAAGTAGCCGTGTTTTTGGTTGCTATGTCACATTTGGCTCGTTGTACATGCTATCGCTCAGATGAGAAAGCATAAGCAAGAAATGGACACAGTTATGGGCGTAAAGAGATAAGGATACAATTTGGGCAATGTTTTATATACAGTAGTAATCAGTGCCATTTCAGCTCAGCCGTCGGGTGTAATAAATTATATTAGAATATAATTCTTAATTTCTTAAAACCGATTCTATATAACTAGGACCTAGCTTTAAACTTAGCCCGGAGTTATATTATTTTCTTAGTATATATAATACTAATTTAAGTAGCTAAGTATTTTATTTACTTAGCTTATAAAATAACTTAAAAGCTTTAAAAAATATTTTTTATAGATTAAACTTTAGAAAATATTCTAAAGATAAAAAATTAGAGAGAAAATATAGTAAAGAGAATATTTTTAATTTAATAGAGTATTTACTAAACTTATATATAGTAATATATATTTAGCTTTTTACTAGAGAGAGTATAATAGAAAGTTAAAATAAAAGAAAATATTAAGCCTAATAACTTAATATAATAAATATAAAAGGTTAATAAAAAAAAAGCTTTACTAGCTTAAGGCTATAGTTATATAGTAGAAAATTCTATAAAACCCTTATATTAATAACTCGCTTACTATTAGAATAAGTTATATATTAAATAACTATTAAAGCTACTCTTTTTGTCTAGTTTTATACTTATTTTATATTAATTTAAATACTTTAATATATTAACTAATCTAGAAAGTAGTAATAGCTCTATATCTAGAGTACTAATATTAATATATCTATAGTCTTTAATATATATATTATAATAAAGAATAATATTCTAATACTTTTTCTTAAAGATAATAAGATTATCTAGCTAGAGATAACTAAACCTAAGATTAGTGCTAGTAATCTAAAGCTTACTAGCTTTAATAAGATTATTAAAATAGATAAGATTAATAAGCTAAATAAAATTAAGCTTAATAACCTCTCTTATTATACCTCAAATAGGAGCTATATAGAGCCTCCTATAAAAGAGCTAGAGATAGCTAGTAGATAGAAGTAATTTAAGCCTTTAGAATTATACTACCTTATATATAAATAAAGGTATTATAAACCTATGTTTTAACTATAGTTTACTAGAACCCAGCTACTCTATAGCTAACTTTGAATAATTTATCTATAGCGCTAGCCTAGTTATAGCCAGACTGAGCATAATATCTCTACTAAGTAGACTATAGCTCTCTATAACTTTAGGTAAGATATTCTTAGGTATATACCTAAGGATAAACTTAATACTAAGATTATTTTAGTATTAAGGAGTAAAAGATTAAAATAGTTCTAATTCCTTATAGCTAAAGTATAGTTATTCTAGAAGTATATTATTAATAAGAAGAGTAAGTAGGGTAGTTTAATAATAAGAAGGGAGGAAAAAATATAGAAGAAATTAGGATTTAAAAGAGGATAGTATTAATAAAAAAAACTTTTTAACTATTAAATATAATAAAAGATAATATAGTAAGAGATATTTAGTTTCTTAAACTAATATAAGTATATAATTAAAGATCTAAATAAAGATTTAAGATATTATTACTAGTATTAGAAGGTTTTAATAAGCTAATAATTAGAATTAAAAAGAAATAATTTATTATTTATAGAAAGTTTTATAAAAGAAGAATAAGAAATTAGATAATTTAATTTAAGAAGAGTTAGTTATAATAGATATTAAGATATTAAGATAGAAGATAGAAATAGTAATAAAGAAAATCCTATTAAGCTAAACCTAGAGAAGATAGTATTAAATCTAAGAAGAGTCAAAAGAAGGAGAAGGATATAGAGAAGGAGAATAAGAGAAAGAAGGAGAAAGAGAAGAAGAAGAAGAAGAAGAAGAAAAAGAAGAAAAAGAAGAAGAAAAAGAAAAAGAAGAAAAAGAAGAAAAAGAAGAAAAAAAAAAAAATAATTATATATTTTTTAATAAAAAAAAAATTATTTTATATTAATTTAATAATAAAATTTAATATATATAAGCTATAGTTTAAACTAAAGAGCTTAATACTTCTTATAATAATTTAAATTCTATTAACTATTTCTTAATAGAAAACTAAAAAGAAGTTTAAATATATATATTTTTTAGAATAGTTTAATATAAATAAAGTATAGAAAATATATATAACTCTTTAATAGCTATAGAATAAGAAAAAGAATTATTTTTAATTATATTAAGAAAGCTAAAAATAAATATAAATAACTTATAATTAATAAATAAAAGATATAGAATAAAACTCTTTTTATTAGTTTTATTAAAAATTAAATCTAGAAATAATAAGAGCTATTATTATATATAACTCTAATAAAGTATTTTATATATTTATTAATACTAATAAAGTATTTAAGATTATTAAAGCTAGAATATATAGATTTAAAATAGCTTAAGTAGAATATCTTATAAACTATATATAATTACTTAATATTATAGTTTTAATATTTAAATATCTTTCTAAAGCTAGAAAACTATATTATTTAATATATTAAAAAGAAGAGAGATTTTTATTTATTAAAGCTATAATATAATATAAAAATACTAGTTTTAAAGCTATAGTTTATAAAGCTAAAAATATTTATATAACTCTAATATAATAGAATTTTATAATTAATTAAATAGTTTTCTAAGTTTAAATTTTATAAAATACTTATTTAAGAAATTTTATCTATAGTTTATTATTTTTAAGATATTTATTAATATATTATTTAATATAGGTTTTTTTATTTATAGCTAATAACCTTAATATATTATAAAAAAAATCCTATTTCTATATATAAGAAGTAGTATTTCTAAAATATTTAATTTAATTTAATAAAATATAACTAGAATTTATAAAAATAGAAGCTTTATAAGATTAAAAGGAACTAACTATAGTAAAAGAAGTATAGAGTTTTATAGAATTTACTAATTACTATAAGAGGTTTATTTAAAACTTTAGACTAGTAGGTTAATAATAAAAGAGAAGAAACCTATTATCAGCATTTCCTATTTCTTCGTTGAGGTATATGGACTAAGAGGTACCGGCGGCGGTCATTTATGGCCCAATATCGCGAGGCATCCGAGGCTGAACGGTGAATACACCCAGCTCACCAATCTGCGGCGGCTCTGAAGAACACGCTGACCTTGCCAACGTTCAAATTTGGCACTATGGCGCCTGTCTATGAGAGACCGACTCTTTTGCATAGACAATAGCTAAGGGTTAGGTCAATGCGATCCTGTGAGCCCGATGAGGCGGCGTCTGGGTTCGGCCTCTCGGCCCAATCAACCCACCAGGCATCGTCCTAAGGGTTTCAACGCCCTCCTCCCCCAGCTCTCATTCTCGATGTCAACACTTCCGCGCTTAAACATTTCTATCTCCGTCACCTTTCTCCTTGCTGTTCTCTGCTTCTGCTTATCACGAGGCATTCAAGGCTACTAGACATAAAGAGAGATAGCTGTAATACGGAGGGATGAAGAATTGTATATAGCTACAACCAAAGTCAGCTATTACGGTTGGCCAAGGAACACCGACAGTACCTTGGCGTAATGGCCCAAGGGACGCATCGGAGAGGCATCATGGAAGCTAGCCTACCCATGTACTATGCGTTACATCAAGTCTGCCCACAGTTCCAAGGATTTTCGAGACCGACTTCTCCGCAAACACCAGAAAGTTCGGAGTACAGAACGTAACTCGAGAGTAGCGTTCAGGGCCCGATTGTTAGCCCCCGAAAAAGGGCCGTAAAGGGTCTTGGGCAGAGCCTCAGCGGGGCCTCATAATTTTGGAGGGGACTACCTTTGGGCTGCATGGTGATCTAAGTTTATATCACGCTCGGCACCAAAACCGGGTCCCTGTGCGGGCTGGCGGACGTGATTTTCTTCTGTAGATCGACTGTTGACAGGATTCGTGGGTCGATAAGATGGTTTCACTTTCAAGGTAGAACCGTAGCGGGACACGTATGCTCCCACTATGACTTTCTCAACTTGAATGATGCCTCCTCAGAGAAGCCGACCAGGGCCGGGATGCAACCCCTCTGACCAAACAAACGAGACTGTGGATCATTCCCACCACCATCGTCGGAGCTGTTGCTCTCTCACTAGCCTTCGTCTTCCTCGTCACTCGTTGGATTAGGTCCAGGTTTTACGAAATCGCGGGAATCATGTCAAGGCACTAGAAGATGCATCTGGGCGAAGCTCCAACTTCAATAAGTGGGCGAAAACGACGCCATGCGCTCAAATGAGACTTCAATAGTCGGAAAAAGTTGCCATTGCTTTTTTATCAGTATTTGTCAGCAAGGAGGCCAAGTGCGGGCTTGCGAGGTAGTTAAGGCGCCTCCTTGGTGTTTCCACACCACCGATAGAGATAGAGTCAACTCTCGTGCTTCTTTCACTAACCCTTTGGTCAATTCGCATCCAAAAAGAAATCAAGAATTGCGTACATGATGGGCATCAAAGGCTGCTGGACATGTAGAGGTATGCTATCTGTCCCCCAAAACAGCGTCCCCGTGGCTGACGACGCTTGTTCTCAATTCCAGCGCGCAAGGTTCGGTGTGACCTTGGCCATCCTATATGCGACAACTGCACTAAGGCAAGGAAACCCTGCCAGGGATATGGCGTTCAATTGTCCTGGCCCCGGGCGGGCGACAAGAGAAGAGCTGTGACCTGTTCTGTCGCTAATCGGGCGGCGGCGGCGGCGACGGCGCGGCGTTATTCCGGCAGCAACACCTTGTTCTTAAATACCTCCCCCTGGGACGTGTCCTTGTCCGAAATGCTCCAGGAGAGGAAAGGTGTTGGTGAGAGTCTATACTTATCTGTTGCCAAGTCCTTAATGCGTATGTTAATAACTCGCGTACAGGTCAACATGCCCACACCTTGCATATTCCACACCTACCATACCTTCCGCCACGGCTTCTTTCTGGGGGCAACGCTCTCCTGCTTGATTTCTGTGAGCCACAACGCGTATGATGACTGCTGTAGTGCAATCTAACACGTAGTTGTTAGTCAACGCATCCCGATCGCGGATCCTGTCACCCATTATGGATGAAGCACTGGCCCAATTCGTCTTGAGAGCTGCGCTCGACAATTCTTCCAAATCTTCCAACTTAATTCTAGAAGGCGTGCTCATCATAGCTTCCCTGCAGTTACACGGGCGCTCAAGGAGCCTAGACCGTCGCTCAAGGCTCATCTCAATGCTTCAAAAGTCTTTGCGGCACGCCGACAGAAACAGCGTGTTACAGAACCTTGTTGCCACGATGCTTCTTTACCAGTACGAGGTTATTACCCCCACCCCCAATGTCTACGCGAACAGCCGTACCAATAGGCTGTTAACATGTTAACATGAATTAGCTTCTCACCACGACAAACCCTCAAATTGGCTGGCGTGTATTCCTCTGCGGTGCGAAGAAGATCATCTCAGCTTTGGTCCATAAGGCTTGGCTATACCAAGATGATAATATCATCTTGATGGACTGGATCTACTACCACGAAGTATCGGCGGAGCTTAGTTTGCGGCACTGGGCAGATGCCGACTCTGTAATCGGCCCCTGCAAAGCACCTCAGGCTAGGAGATCTCAAGAGCTAGTAGTCGATGTGTCTGCAGTACGTTGTTCTAGAGTTCTTGGCCGCTCCTATGTAACGGGCTTCTAATGCATTTCACAGGTCCGAAGCTATACAACGTGTCCCATGGATGCCCTCGACCTTATTCGGAACGTATGCAAGCGACCACCGATATACAGTGCCGCGGATATAGAGCGGATGCAGGGGCTCAAACGAAACCTTCAGAAGAATATCGGAGAGACAGGTCCTTTCTATGACATTTCAGAAACTCCAATCACCAGGCAACATATGATGTCGTATCTCTACACTTGCGCTGCACTCATCTACTTCAATCGTGCGGTAGCAAACGTATCACCTTCCTCATTTGAGCAGAAAAGGTTGGTGAGGGAGGGGATCTTCATCCTGCATTACCTTGGCCCTTGCGAGAGCGCCTGGCCCTTGTTTATCTTAGCTTGCGAAGCGAGCAACGATGAGGAACGTCTGCAAATGTCAGACATGCTATCAAAGACGGGACAAGAGTCACTGCATCGGGTGAATCACGTCCCGCTGATTCGGAGCATGGTGGAAGCAGTGTGGAACCAGAACGATCTCAATGCTGACAGCGACGTCAGTTATGTCGAGACGCTTAATGCTGTATTTTCAACGGCACCGTCTTTGCCTCTATTCGCCTGAGTCTCGACTCCGACTACATTGCTTAGATGATTCTCATTTCATATCGAGGTAGCCCGATAACACTTAACCAGTTCTACCCAAGCGTTCCTCTGCTCAGACAACCCCAATCTTCTCCAGACCGTCACGGACCAGCTGTTCAATGCTCTTCCGCTTCACATCCAAGAATCCGTCACCATCGAACTGCAAGCCATCTTCGAGATCCCCTGCGCCGCCACCGCCAAAAGCAGCAATCTGGATGGTGGTAAGAATGGCTGGAAAGCTCTGGCCGTCCACAAAGTACCTGTTGCGCTGCTCAGTCAGTTCCTGCGTCGTGATGGGAACTCTCTCAAATCCGCGTCCTGTAATCTTCTCGTAGAGCCTTATGATCTCGTTGACAGTTGTGCGGACCTCGCTGACGTGAAGACGCTTGTTCTTTGTCTTCTCTTCGTCCATTTTGAGGGCAGCCACGAGACAACCGGCGATGAAGGGCAAAGAGCTCCCAGTGAAAGGATGGTCGCCACCGTCAAGGACCGTCACCTTGTTGTTCTTCGGCTCGAACAGGGCAAATGATCCCTTGACCCACTCGTCGATGAAAGCCGAGGGAACGATGGTGGTGAAGCTTGTCGGGCCACCCTTGTTGGCAAGATCCACGAATTCCTTTGCCAGAGGCACTACCGCGAGGTTATCGGGCCATGGCTTATCCAGTGTCAGAAGCGATTGCGCCGATGGGTGCAGGATTTCCAGCGAGTACTCGGAAGGGAAGATGCGCCGAACTCCCGCCTCCTGGGCAGCCGCGAGTAGCTGCCTGTCGACGATTCTGCTGATCCCACCGTTGACGAGAGACACGATGGCGTCAGCACCTGCGGACAAGCGTACAAGCTCTGCATGGTCGCTGTAGTCAACCTGGACCACTTTAGCACCAGGGAAGGATGGCGGGGTGCTAGAAGTCTTCCGAGTAAGGATGGTGACTTCGAATTTCGGTTGGGTTGAGCTCAGAATTGCAGGAATGGCAAGCTTGGCAAGGCCGCCGGTGCCAGCCACGACTAGTCTGATGAAGGGCATGTTGACAGAATCTGCTTGGAAGTAGCTGAAAAGTATTTTGCTGGTGGACGAGAAGTGCTCTTTTCGGCTCTGGAGATTGTAAGTAGGTGAATGTGTTTTGAAGCGATTTCGTCAAGTCTTTATATTCTTCCTCGGCCTTAAACTGTTTCCATGTCTTTGATTTCCCTACAATATTCCCCAGCAACCGGTACAGGCTGTCGAGGGACACCTTGATCGCCTAACCTGGTGCCGTTAGTCATTCGGAAATACTTGCCAACACTTACACTAGATCATATGCGGACCACCCAAACTCAACGACTGGTCAATTGGTTGAACCATCCACGGCGTTCATATTGGCACTGATCACTCAATCTTATGCAACTAATGCCGACCGGAGCCAAGCACGAGTGTGGCCAAACAACAGGCCTCGATTGCCTAGTCACATTCGATGAGAAATCATGCACGTTTGACCAAACATCAGCAAGTATTCCCGAAAGCCCCTCTAAGGTGTGCTCTGCTGTCGAGCTTATGATTAATCATTCATTCGGCGAACGGAGGACCCGTTCTCTTACTCTCTGCTCGACAAGTTACTTGAGCTGACAAATGGTTTCGGCTGAAACTAGGCCGCGGCTTTTGAGCAGCGGCATGCGGCATTGGTTCGCCCATAGCCCCCTTGCGACGCCGAGTACGACCTTATACAAGTACTCGGCTTTATATAGCGGCCTGAAGGCTTCGTATTTAATGGGAATTTGCACCTGACTTATTCTCCCTTTGAGGCACGACCAAGTACGGAATACCCCCAAGTAACTGATCCTTAATAGTCGACCCAGCATCAAATCATGGCCGCCAAGTCCCCCGTTGTCCTCATCCTCGGCGCAGGCTCCAATATCGGCCAGGCCGTCGCCCGCACCTTCGCCTCTAAGGGCTACAAGGTCGCCCTTGCTGCCCGCTCACTGAAGGAGGCCGATAGCACCGACAACCAGCTGAACATCCCAAGCGACTTCTCCAACACCGACGATGTGGTCAATGCCTTTACCAAGGTGAAGAAGGTGTTCGGCGTCCCCAGTGTCGTTATCTACAATGGTAAGCCCTCGTCCCCAACGGCGTCGTTGCTGGCCGACTGACGTTCCGCAGCCAGTGCCGGGAGCTTCACCCCGGCCGACGACCCCTTTGCCCTCTCCCTTGCCGACTTCAGTCGCGACACGACCATCAACATCCACAGTGCCTTTGTCGCCGCGCAACAGGCCGTCTCGGGCTTTGCAGAGCTTCCGGATTCGGCCGCGCGCACCTTCATCTACACAGGCAATGTCCTGAACGTCGCCATCCTCCCGCGATTTGTCGCCGCGGGCATCGGTAAGTCGGGCGCCGCTCACATGATCTGGGCGGCCTCGGCAGCGTACAAAGACCGTGGATACAAGTAAGCACTCGATCCGTCTCGGGAATTCCTGCCTGGGAGACTAACGCCGTGAAGATTCTACTATGCCGACGAACGGAAGCCAGACGGACAGCCCAAATACCGCGTCGACGCTGACGCTCATGCGGATCTCTACTGGAAGCTGGCCCACGCCAAGACGCAGGGCCCTTGGATGCAGACATTCGTCCAGGGTGTGGGATATGAGAAGTTCGACGCTATATATACTCCTGTCGCGTGAGGCGTCACTGTCGTCGATGGATGAAGTGGCAGCTTCGGGCAGGCCAACAGTTTGACCATCTTGGCTCCTCGGTATTGTTAAACTGTTATAGAGTAACTCGTAGCTCCTGAGCTTCGTACTTCATGGCATTAGAGCTAGCTGGGCAGTGTGGGTAGGTTGCCGTACTACATGTCAGTATGCTCCTCCGGAGGGTAGCCGCAATATAGATCTTAAATGGAATTCGTGCGTCCTAAACCGTAATCCAGGCAACAACACGCTCTATGTTATCGCCCACCCAGCACAGAACAGATGGTGAGATGCAGCAGGCGCTGTTTTCAAGTACCCGGGGTAACTGATACCTCGTCGCCGCTCTGGCCTAAACGCCCCAGTTGAAAGCTACGTGGTGATAGTCCCTGTCACTATACTGATGGTGGGCGGTGAATGCTGATATAATTGCCGCTTCCGCGGATGTAGCGGGTGCCACAGCGTTCGGTTTGGACTACTAACGAACTTCATTTCAAATCCTTTTCCCAATACAGAATCAGTGACTAACATGTGCGTGTATAAGAGCCCTAGTCTTTCCCGGAACCGCATTCAGATTCCTTTCTCTAGCATATCAAGATACCAGTTCTCCTCATTTAACATCTGTATGGCAAAATGCTCACTGATCAACTGGCGATCCGCAAAGGATCTCGCATCCTCATCACTGGAGCGAACAGCTATCTTGGCTCTAACATTATCGACCTTCTTTTAGAGCTCGGGTACAACGTTCGTGGATCTATTCGCGGGAAAAAGCCTTGGCTCGACCGGCTATTTGAAGAGAAGTATGGACAAGGCCGGTTTGAGACCTTGGTAACACCTTCGCTGGGGAATCCAGGCGCTTTCGATCACTCATTGGTGGATGTAGCTGGCGTTGTGCACGTGGTGAGTTATTATCACTGCCCCAATTTGAACGGAGAATTTACAGCATCCAGGCATCAGACGTGAGCTTCAATCCAGACCCGAACATTGTCGTTACTCCTGTTGTGGCTGTAACCCTGAACGCGCCGCAAGTAGCTTCCAAGTACCCATCGGTGAAGCGGTTTGTTTTAACTTCTTCGTCAAGTGCTAGGTTGACACCACCCGCATATAAAAAGCTCGTGGTAACCGAGGGTATGCGTAGAATATTTTGATATATGAGAGCCTAAACCTTGTCGCTGATCTGCATTTTAGGCACGTGGAATGACGCGGCTGTTGCAGCAGCTTGGAGCGAGCATACTCCTCCGGGCCCTGTCACGGTTTATGCAGCATCCAAGACGGAGGGCGAGCGCGCGGCTTGGAAATGGGTTGAGGAGAGCCGGCCAGGCATCGTTTTCAACGCGGTTCTGCCGAATTAGCTTGTAACGACTTCCCTAATCCTTGCTTGGGGGACAATGCTGACATTATATAACAATAGCTTGGGAGAATTCTTGCTCCTGAGATCCCAGGGTCCAATATGGGCTAGGTGCGAAAGCTTTTGGAGGGAGACGATGGGGTCATGCAAATGCCACCTCGTAAGTTGGCCTCCGTAAATGAAAGCCAGCAGTGCTAATACAGTGCCGCCAGAGTGGTACGTCGATGTGCAGGACACAGGTTGACTACATGCTATCGCTCTGTTGGCTCCTACTGTTCAAAATGAGCGCATTTTCGCATTCACCTAAACGGACGTAGTTGCAGCTTTGCGAAAGCTGCGTCCACATAGGAAGATTCTGGACTCGCTAGAGAATGAAAGTCGGGACCTAGCAGACATCAAACCGTTGAAGAGAGCGGAGGCTTTGCTCAAGGAATACTTTGGCAAATCTGGATGGACGGAGTTGGAGGATCCTTTAGCAGATGCAATTTTAGCTATGTCATAGTATCCCCCTGACAGTGGAGAGCCGTAAGCGCCGTACCAGACATCAAAATGATCTAATTAAATTCGCGGGAAATCTATAATAAATTTAATATAACTTAAGTCCTTACATGGAGAAATATAATAAGGATCTTATCAATAAGAAGGTATCTATAAAAGATCTAATTTCTATTATATATTAGGTAGGAATCTAATTAGAAGATAGAACCTTAACTATTAAGATAAAACAGGATTAAGCCTTAAAGAAGAAGGGAAATATAGTAGAAGAAGCTTTAATATAAATAACTCAGAGTCTATAGATAGCTTACTTATAAGAAGATAAAATATAATTAATACTATTTAAAGCTTTCTATAACTTTAAAAAGATATAATAAATAATATAAGCCTTTATCTTAATATTTAAGGATAGTTAGTTTCTTATATTCTTTTATTTTATAGTACTATTTATTAAATAATAAATATAGTATAATATAAGTACTTTTATACTGACTTTAAATTTTCTTACTGTTATACCCTATCTTTTATCTCCCAGATTGCCCCTGTAAGATTTCTGGGGTTAAGTAACTCATGCTGCTGATTTTCCAAGAAAGAGTTATGAATCAACTATAATAAAATCCCTGCGAGGTCCATTTCATCAGAAGTTGCACACTTAAGACCAGAAAAGGTAGGTCATTCAGCCCAGATTTGGACCCGCTTGATAACTATCCTCGAGGGGCTCCTGGGAGGTTGCGATAGTAGCAACAGCGATAAGGCGAAGGTCTCCTCTCAAACCTTTAGAACCTGCCTGGAGTATGAGGACATATTGCGAAGCATTCCGGCAACAGATCGGAAGCCGCGACGTGAAACACCCTACAAGCCGCAACGCTGGAAAGGGTTTATACGCTCTCCAATTCGGATACGCTCCCGATGCTCGCTACCGCGGGACTTGGAGACCTAAAACTTGGTCAAGGGAGTTCGCTGGAACTTTTTCGATTTGGCGAATCCCAAAGGGGCGTAATTTCCCTCTTCGGGATACATTTTCAGATTGTCTTTAAGCGAGCCTATGACCGTTTAGTTCTAAGCCCCAGTGCTGAAATGACGGCATTTTTTACGTTTCAGACTTCATTCAACATTGTGCGACGACCACCAAAGCGGCTGGCTGCCTGGGTCTTGGATCCCAAGCCCATCGAGGCTTTCGAACGTCAAAAACTCATTGATGTCGGGAGCATTCAAGATTGCTGCGACATCAATATTGTATGGCATGTGTGCGTGATCTGGCTCCGTGATCGCTGTGGCGCTGGTGATGCCTGTAGGCTCTTGCAGCCTGAGTTCGGTCGCATTTTCTCCATCGGCTTGAATGGAGCTTGATCTCGCCTGAGATTCTGAAGCATTGACCTCGCCCGCTGCGTCCTTGCATAGTTCCAAATCGTGCTTCAAGTCGGCCAGTTGCTCATAGTAGCCACGGGCAGAAATATTTCCACTTGTGCCCATAATCCGCAGCATGCTTGAGGAGCCCTCCAGCAGTGTACGACTGGAGTTGGTGGGCTTCAATGAGTGGCTCATGGCAAGAATGGTAGCGGCTGAAAAGAGATATTGAGAGTCAAATCCTCCGAGTGTGACAATTTGGCCGTCAACCCACAAGCGCCGCAGTAGTTTGTAGCACGTGGTTGCTGCAGATACGCAAGCGTCTGCTAGAGCCAACACTGCAGCAGAACACGGCCCATGGCTAGTCCGTACATGCGGTAAAGTCGCCTGGGACTGAAAGTGCTGGAAGAAGACAGGCCTCGTTGTCAACACAATGCACTAAGGCTCCAGTTAGCGTTTTGCTTATATAGCTTTGGCGTGAAGGCACACCCCTTGCACGTCTTCCAGCGCAAACTGCGCATGCGAGCCAACGTTTATGTGGCTGTGGGCCGGGCACGGTTGATGTAAGGATGGCTACCTACGTGATTGCAGTGCACATGGAGCGAGGCGAGAACCCTCCCAGGACATGCTGTGGATGCGATCTTGGTGAGCGAGAGCTCATCAGGTAACGACTGAATAAAATCTTTGAGCTGCGCCAGGATTTTCTGCACGTTTGGCAGGATGGCAAATCGACTTCTTGGTTGGTAAAGGTCCTGCAGAATCGATCCAGCAATGCGTGCCATGGAGATGCTCGAGAGGATTTGCTTGGGGTTTGGCAAATCTTCGAGATCGTCTGAACTCAGGTTGTTGTGCGATGGCAAGTTCACACTGATGTCCTCATCCTTAATCATAATTGGGTGACCAAGCTTCAATGAGCACAGACGATCGAATGCATAGACTGTCCACCACACGCGGCGCCGATGCTCGTGTTCGAAGGGTGAGGCGAGTTGTGCAGGAAGCTCGCGGTGAAGGCCTAAGGCCATGCTCAGACGCACTGCAAGCCCTGTAAAGATGTATGCGCTGTTGCTCCGATTCAAGGCGTGTGAGTAATACGACTAGTCCAGTAAGAAGCCGTCAGCCGGGTGGATTCAATCAATCAAAGGGTGGAATGACCAGCGACACTGACCAAAAGAAGAACAGTTTCAATATAAGACACGGTTGGCTCCTCATACAAGTCCTCAAATAGGTCCAAAGCCCGAAGGAAGAAGCCTATGCCGGGAATGTCCGCTTGACTGTGATGCGCGAAAATTGGTATATTTGAGTACAGCTCGCCCAGAGCCAGGATGGCGAATAAGCCGCACAGCCAGACGGGGTCTTTGGATGTACCGGGTTTGTATACTTGGTCGAACTGGTGCAAAAATGTCTTCCGAAGAAACATGTGATATTCGTTGCCCACGAACCGCTCTGCTGTTTCGATAAGTAGCATTGCGTAGGCCTGGTCAGGTAGGTCCAGATCTCTGTCCGCCAGCTTGCGCAAGGTGTTGGTTTTGAAGTAACGGTCATGCTTGGGGGGCGTGATCGAATCATCGTTCCTGAGATGCCGGCGTACTCGTGTATTAAACGCCTCACAAGCAGCGTCGCCGACGTAGGAGTAGCGGGCCAACGATTCGCCCTCGCTGGTATATCTCACATGAAGTGGTTTAGTTGCATACGTGTCAATGTGTTCAATGGGAACTGGGTCGGTTCCAGCGGCAGTAGATGGAGGAATTTCCCTAGTAGCCGTCTGGTCAGCGGTAATGTCTTGCTCCGGTGAGTTCAAGACAGGGCTGCAGCTGGGTGGGATGGGCGAGCCTTCGGCGTCAACAGCATGCTCCTTGGTAGAATGTCGGTTTTGTCGTAACGTCTGAATTTCGGCTTCCAATTGGTTCAAGTAGCTACAAAACTCAGCAAGTTGCACAGCCATAATTCCCTGGGCAGCAGGCTTGCCTTTCTTTAACAAGAACGTCGCGGTCCCTCGGGGGATACACACAAGCGACAGGATGTTTTGACTGCCGACAGTTGCGACATGGCTGCTCGCCGGAACACTTTACCTTACTTGTTCGACAGCGCCGGCACCTTGAGCAGCAAAGCGGTTAGCCTATGGCAAAGAGGGCGAAGGGGAGCAGACCGGGGCAAAGTCTAGTTAACGGAACAGACGTACGCAAGACTGGTCTTCTGTTTCTTTTGGATGCCGGAGGGAAAGCTTCCCGGTGTGTGACAGGGCATCTTCAGTATCGAAATGATTCGCAGCAAGCGACGCAGTTTCGGCTTAAGAGGTGGGCACTTATTACATTAATTAATGAACCTCGATGGGTAAGGACTTGTTCGCTAACTTTTGGGGGAGGGGGGTTTATTAGGGGGGAGTCTGTTTTCCCCACGAGCCACATCCTTATATCCGAATTCTCGCATACATACATACAACTAGTAGGTCTAGCTGGCTAGTCCTGAACGGCAGTATGGTGAGTCAGCATAGCGAATATCGAGCCGCTAATGTTTACTTCGGCTTGGGAAGAGGGAGACGGCAATCTCTGTAAGAAAACGAAACCTGAATGTCCAATACATATAATAATATTTTAAATAATATTTAATTTTTTATATTATTTAATATAAGATTTAATAGATTTTAAATTAGTTATAAGATTAGTTTTATTAGTTAATAATAGATACCCTTTTGTAGCTTGAGTAGTTAAATAGATACCTAGGGCTAATCTATTTAATCTACAATCGTACTAACGGGTAGTTACTTATGGCAGGTTAATAAGAAACAGGTACCCCATAGGGCAAAAAGACTCGAGTCCGCTTTCACCGCAAAGAGGTGCTCAGCGTACCGTTTTGTACCCAAACCCCAGCCGCTCTCACAAGTGGAGCAACTAGAATCCGCCGACTGAAGGGCAATGGGGTAATTAACAGGGTGAGTACAAAGCCTCCACAACCAAATGATTTGCTCACTGAAACCAGCTCTTCCGTCTTTTGCACCCTCTTCGGTCAGCGTCGCTCCGAGTCAAGTTTCCAGGCACCTGAGAAATATCCAGGCTTGGGGGATCACGAGGCCGTTGCAACCGGAACTGTACCACTTTCAGCCAGGGCCGGATGACGTTAAACGGTTTTAGTGTTAGGCCAAAATAACGTCATCAGATACGAGTTGACCCTGCGTGACTTGCATCCGCAATGGCTCCGAATGGAGCTCACTGCGGTCTGAATGGCCTTTTTGGCGGCAATGAGAATGACAAAGGACGGGTAAGGAAACAAGACTATCCATATGAAACTATGTTAATTCCAAACGCAGTCTCATGTCTCAGTCTTCTACGTGATATTGCCTGCTGGATCGAACCTGGTAGATGTAGCGGCAGGTTTCTGTAATATGCAAGCAACGGTCGTGCGCACCAGTAGGCCAAGGACGCCTGAGACGTCTTAAAATTCGCCTTGGGAGTTGGGAACGAAAAGCAGCCATACAAGTACAATACGTAGAACTGCCTGTTGGGAAACACTATTTCAAGAACACGAAATTAATTGTGTCCAACGTCACTTAGCTATCGAGAGCAGAGGTGCTGGCCAACTTGGATGCAACCTCCAACAAATTAGACTTGACCACAACGTGGCTACCACTCGACGGCACGTTGCCTGCATGCATCCTGCCCACATTGGAAAGCACCACGACGGCGCAGTCGCCGCTCTCCTTCCACCACAGTGCTGCCGTGAAGCCCAGCACACCTCCAAAGTGGCCGAGCCACGCGTCGGCATCGGGCCGCTTTATGCGAAAAAGACCATGGCCCATCTCCTCGTCATTGGCCACTGACCGCCACTCTGTCATGACGGCGAGGGACTCGGAGCTGAGGAGCTTTCCGTCCCGCAGCGCAACAGCAAACGTGGCGAGGTCCGTTGCCGAGGAGAGGATCCCGCCTGCAGTCCATTCGGTGGACAGGTTCGACGAAGTGCAGTCGATGAGGCGCTCGCTCATGGGGGGGAATGAGGGACTTGTACCCGCCGCGTCACGAAAGGTGTCCGTGGCCCAGTGGTAGCGACTCGGGAGGAGGCCCTCGCTGGGGGGACTTTCGAAGCCCTCGAGGTAGGTTTGCCTCATACCCAGCGGGTTGAGGATTCGGTGGCGGATCTCGGACTCTGCGGAGCTCCCGGTGACCTTTTCAATAATGAGCCCGAGCAAGGTGTAGTTGGTGTTTGAGTAGTACCACCTGCCAGGCTCTGGGGCCGTCTTCTTGGGCCGCCGGATGTAGTCAAGCGGTTCCGTCTTGGCCCATATGTGAGAGGGTTCCATCTCGCTGCCACGGCCATTGCGGATCCATGAAGGGTCGTCCTCCCAACTGTCGATACCCGCTTCGTGGCTTAGAAGCCGTGCCACAGTTGCATCCCCGGCGTCCACGATGCCGCGGTACACACCGGGCTTGAGCAGGCTGTTGACCGTGTCCGACAGCCCGAGCTTGCCTTCTTCGACGAGCTGCAGGACGACCACGGCGACAAATACCTTTGTGATGCTGCCGATGCCAAACAAGTGCGTCGTGTCGACTGGCTCCAGGCTGCGCAGGTCAGAAACGCCGCTCGTAAATGTCCACGTCTTGCGAACGGAGGACACAGCGACAGAGAGCCCGGGGACACCCGCCCGGACGCTGTCCCGGAGGATGGCATTGATCCTGGCGACGTGGTCCGTGGTGTCGCCGTCGCCCGCCATATGTGACGTTCCCAGCGCAGTACAGTGTGACTTAAGCAACAATACCGAGCAGAGATGGTCGAGAGCGACAGTCGTGAGTTACTGGAGGTGAATGAAAATAAAAGTAGATGAGCTGCAGCAAGAGCTCATGCTTCTGTTGATGACGAAAACGTCGGCACGATTCAGTGATTACGAGCCTGCTTCATCAAAAGAAACGAAGCTAAGAGCCAATCAAAGTTGATTTGTTTAAGGCCTCAGTTTCTTCTTGTCAGCACCAGACATAGCATTGCCACAGCTGAAAAATTGCCCACTAGGGAGACTTGGACAGTCTACGTATTAAAAAAGAAATAGTAACTCAAGAAGTAGCCAACGCTTCAAATCCCCTTGTCCCAGAAGACACTTGTCCCAGGGGGTCAACGAGTGGTAAAAATTAGGAAGCCGATCAGGGGCTGAGGAAAGGTGGGCGTAAACGGCATCTATCGAAACTGCCGCTCGAAACCCCCAACGCCATACGTAAGTAGAATAACGAGCACCAGGTATATCGACGAATGATACAAGGATAAAGCAAATAAACCCCACAAAGCCCCCTCGGCTTATGAAAATTTGCCGATTCTAGGCAACGTAATGAATTATCTTCGAGCATTGAGAGCTTAACTAGGTTATTATTACTTGGGCCCATATCGGAAAGCCATTACAAAAAGTTAGCTATAGTGTGGTGCCACAAGTCTGCGAACAACCGTATCCCAACGCGACCGCGTCATCGCACGCATCAATATACCTTCCTTCTTTAACCTCTTATAGTAAGCTACTACAGTACCTGGTCATCAGTGTCCACAATAGAGTTGGCTGGGGCCTTCCGAATCAGATGCAACTCTGTACATTCCCACCACAGAATTTCCCTTTTTGGGAAAAAATCTCATGCTTTCTGTAAATAAGCATGTCAACGCTTAATTTTAAGACTTAACTGAGGTTGTGCGGGATAACTTAGAAGAGATCTCTGCCCTCAGCCACAGCCATAGGGTAGGTCTAGCTTATTGCATTCCTCTTGCGTCAGTAAAGGCATTTTAGATGCGACAGTGGGAGAGCCCTACAAGAACACGCCTATGTCATTTTCGAGAAACTATAGGGTAGCTTGTAACCCCCCGCCCCCTTTCTACCCGACACGTACCAGATTGCATCCCGGAGTCTGGCCATTAATGAATCCAAACTAATACGGGGGTTTCTAATTTCAACTCAGGTACCGATTGAACCACAGCAATGTCCTCGCGCAAAAGTCGATCAATGCTGGAAATTTCTCGATTCCATGACCTTCGTCGGGGTAGATCGATAATGCTGACGGCACCTGATGCTCGAGGAGGGCTTGGTGGAATTGCAAGGCTTGGGATTTGGGTACACATTGGTCCCGTCCACCCGCGATTTGAAACACAGGCGTCTTGATGCGACTTGCTGCCATGGTCGGACTTCGCTCATGATAGAGCCCTCCCTGTGCGTAGGGATCAGCACCCATAAACAGTTGCGGCTGCAAGGCAATGTTAGACTCAAGATGGTAGGATCTCCAGTCTGTGACTGCAGCCACAGGAACAGAGGCCTTGAAGATGTCGGTTTTCGCGATCAGCCATGCCGCCATGTAGCCTCCATAGCTTGCGCCGGTCACCCCAAGCCTGTTCGGGTCGGCGATACCTTCCTCCACCAGAGTTGCAACACCAGCCAAAAAATCACTTGTCTCCTGGCCCCCAGTGTCGCCTAATATAAGCCTTGCGAATTCCTGCCCTCTTCCGGAGGAGCCACGTTCATTAACAGTCAGGACGGCATAACCTTGAGAAACCAGGAACGCGGTACAAGCGTTTCCCGGCCATCGGTTGCGATAGCACCACACCGGACCCCCGTGGCAGCTCAATATCAAAGGATACGGAGCCTTGCCGGCAGCGGGGAGGTACAAGTATCCCTGGATTTCCAGATTGTCGCTGGATTTCCAGGTACGCTCTTCCATGGAACCGAGCTGTGATCGTTGCCACTTGCTTCCTGCATGTTCGAAAGTCAAAAGCGGTTTTATATGGTCCTGTTCGACCACGCACAGCTCCGGATACCGATTCCACCCTTCGAGGACCAAGGAGAATGACCCGCGTGCTTCCAAAGGCGACGCCACAGGATAGATATGCCCACACATTTCTTTGCTAGACCATCGATTGTGTACAATCGCCGAGGCAACTTCGACGTCACCAACGGAGATGTGAAGACCGTTCAAGCCGGCGAAAAACAGCGTCTCATTGTCGCGCCACTTGAGACATGTTACGTCGGTTTCCGCGGGACGAATTTGTTGCTGATTGCCGGAACTTCGGTTAATGATGAGGATATCCCCAGCCACTATGCCCCTGTCGCTACACAGCGCCACCACTACAGCTATTTTGTCGCCATCTGGGGAGCAAGTTGGTAGACCTAGCTGCGCGGAAGGGATGTGCACCTTTTGCTCGTATCCAGAAACCACATCCAGCAACGACAGACGAGCTCGATACCAATCGTTTTCTGTCCCTTCATCAGACACAATACAGGCAATAGTGTCTTCACCGCACCAGGCGGCTTCCCAGATGGTGAGGTCGTTGGACAAGCAGGATCGGAGATTGTCTGAGCTCCAGTCGTAGGTCGAGACGAACCGCCGCGGCCAGCGCGCCGTCCGGACAGTTGGCATCCACGAAGAGGCCTTGCCAAGAGAATCTCGCGCTTGATCCGAGTCTTGCGTTGAAGCAGCATCTGTCTCAATCCCAAGAAGAAGCAATTGCCTGCCGCTAGGTGACCAGTCGAGATGATGCAGTGATCCCCGGGGGTCTTCCACCAGCCGCTCAACATTCTCCACACTGCTCTCGAGCCCGGACCAGGCAACTTGATAGACGGCAAACCTGCCTTCTTGATGGCGGTCTGAGAGAAAAGCTAAGCTTTTACCGTCGGGAGACCATCTGGGCGAATGGTCGTTTCTATCTTGACTCGGGTTTTGAATGATGTTGAGATTTTGCCCATCGGTGATGCAGACGCGAGAGATAGGTTTCCCTTCCAGCGCCCTCCGCGTGCTTCCTGTGAAAGCAAAATACTTTCCACACGGAGATGATTGCGGGTCAGATGCCCCAGAGATTTTGTTGAAGCCGGGACTGTGAATCTTGGAGAAATATTCCAAGGAGGCATGCCATTCTGAGGTGTTGTGCATGGCGGTTGGCATCACCCAGCTTCGCCAAGTTTTCGTCTGCAACTTCTCCATGGCCTATGGGTAGATCACGCGAACCAGGATGCTATAGAGTTCGACGCTGTCAGGTGCGGCCATGAACAACAGGATGGAGATGTGAGAGGGTTAAAATACGTCCCCGGTCAGTGCTTGGCTCAGATAGGATTGCTTGTTTTCGGCTTTTTCGGAGCCTTTGCCGAAAACTCAAAAGATTTGTCAACGGAGCGGGGGTCAGGCAAGCATGTGAGCATTTGGTCACTCACTTCCGTCGGCCCCAGATGCGGAGCGAACGATGGACCACCGTGTTCACGCCTGCGTGCTTTCCACTCCACTGATCCCAAGAACATAAATAAACGGTAGTAGCTAGTTCATGGCCACTCTCCCAAGTCAGAAACAGAATATCAAACTCCTAGTCACTTGACAATTTACGAAACACACCCGTCTTGCCTCGTTTTTTCAGAAGCGCCGAACTACAATGAAGACCGTGGCACCCTACGGGACATGGGTGTCCCCGATCACCGTCCAGGCCATTGCATCCATGGCCAGGAACTTCACCTGTCCAAGAGTCAATGTACGTGTAATTTATCCGAACAAGCCTACAATTTTTTCAACATAGATCCTTTTCGCAGATCTACAATGAGACTATCAGGCATTAACTGACAAGCACCACAGCCTCAATCTGGCCGCGCTTTCTTTAGTGAAACCACCCCGGAAGGCCGCAAAACGATCATGGAGATAACCAAGTCTGGTTTGAGAACGGTTCTACCAACTGAATTTAGCGCAGAAAATAGCGTCTACGGCTACGGCTCCGCGATTTTCGGTGTCCTGCCAGATGACCGCATCATTTTCTCCAATCGAGATCGAGCCGTCTGCCTATTGAACCCTGACTCGGGAAAAGTCATCGAATTATTTGGAAGCCCTGCTTTACACTATGGTAGCTTTTCTACCAATGTACGGTCGCCCTGGAGTCTCGCAGTCGAAGAGGATCGTACGGACAGCACTACAGAAGGAACGCAGAACCACATTGTGGCCATCAATGCAGACACCGGCGAGATTAAAAGGATCTTGACTGGAGCAGACTTTTATTTCCAGCCACGTTTCAATACGGATGGGACTCGTCTCTCATGGACCCAATATAACCGCCCTGAGCTCCCATACACGGACGTGAAGCTCTATTGCGCCGACTGGTCCCCAGATGGAACGATCAAGAATGCACGTCTAGTCGCGGGCATGGACCACGAAAGTGTTGCCGAGCCTCGTTGGGGCCCTGATGGTTCTCTCTTCTTTGCTAAGGAAGTTGGCTCGTTCCGTCAGTTGTTCAGAATTCCGCCTGACAGCTCGCAACATATCCCGATTACATTGGCTGGCCTGGAGGATGCGGAGTTCTCGTTCGCCGGACATGTCGAGTCAATGTGAGCAATTTATGCCCGACCCGGACCTCGTTGGGAGAGACTGACATAGAATAACAGCAATACGTACACTGTCCTAGACAAACACCATATACTAGCTACGCCGCTTATTAATGGAGTAAATCGTGTCATATCTATCGACACAACTACAGGCAAGTGGAAACAGCTTGCGAAGTACGAGGACATTTGTCAAGTCCCCCATGACGCGGTGTGGAAGTATGATAGCACGTCAGCGCTTGTCATTGGTGCTGGCACGATCAACGGCAATTCAGTCTATCGTATTGATACTGCTGCGTGCCCTGAGAGCAGCGAAGCCATTCGAAGATCAGTAGATGAATACTTTCCTACGAACTTATTTTCACCACCACAATCTATCCACATACGCTCAAAACGTTCACCATTGCGGGACATTCACGGCTTTCTATGGATGCCCCGTAACAGTGGTTATGAGGCCCCGCAAGACGCGAGGCCTCCACTCATTATCGAAGCCCACGGCGGGCCTACAAGCCATGCGGGCTGTGGTCTCAGTCTGCCAGTTCAATATTTCACATCAAGGGGCTATGCATATCTCCAAGCCAATTATGCTGGCTCCACAGGATATGGCAGAGAATACCGTCAATCCTTGTTCGGCAACTGGGGGGTTTTAGACACAGAGGACGTCATTGAGCTCTCTGATCACTTGCTTGCTTCTGGGCGAGTGAAGCCCGGAGCAATTGGGATTACAGGGGCCAGTGCCGGCGGCTATACCTCTCTCCAGGTTCTGTCGAAATACTCGAAGAAGTTTGCTGGCGGCGTTTGCTTGTGTGGAGTAAGCGACTTGGAAACACTCGATAAAAGCATTCATAAGATTGAGGCAGATATTGTGCCTGCGTTTGTCTTACGATATCCTCCTCAAAGGCCCACGAGCAAAGAAGACCTCGAGATGTATCGTGAACGCAGCGCCATACACCATATCGAAGGAATCACATCGCCGCTGCTGCTGATACACGGGAAAAAGGATACGGTTGTTCCTATTGCACAGGCACGCAGCATCTTTCAGGCACTGGAAGACCACGGGGCGGATGTGAAACTATTAGAGATTCCAGAAGAAGGTCACATGCTCTCGAAACCAGTCACAGTACAGATAACGATAGAAGAGAAGGAAAATTGGTGGAGGAAGACTCTCCTGAAGTGTACGTGAGTCTGGGTCTACTGTTCTCTGCTATAATATGATGCATTGGAAGCCTTTCATCCCTGCACCCGCCCGGGATCGTTGGCTACGTAAGGAATATACATGTGTAGTTTTGTTAGAGGCTGTCCATATTACTCCATCCAAGTTCTCGTTGTATAGCAACATTGAGTTGAACACGGCTGTAGTACTGACTATCTAGAATCTAATCTAACCCCATCGTTTCTGTCCTCACAGCCCTCTTGCAACGCCAAGATCTATATGTGATTCATGCGGCGCACATGTCTTTGTCCAGTATTTCTAGCCCTGTCCCTGTTCACCGAAGAGGAACACCTCTGCGAGCTCATCTCAGCTCGTGGCCGCCCTGAGGCCACCTATTGCGGCCAACATTGCGTCGCTGCCGCGCACCCTGCTCGAATCATTGACAGGACTTATCCACGTTGCGCAATGCTCGGTTGAGTTTCTCCTTCGCCTCTGTCGAGCGGCAGCCGACGTTGGACAGGTACCTCCACACAGGCGGCAGCGATGGTATTGTCCAGGATTACCTCGGGGGAGCCTCCCCCCCCAAGTGCCTTGATATGACGTTCTGGCCTATCATAAAGTGCCCATGCTCGTCGGCGTTTCTTCGGATCTAGATGGGCATCCGAGTAAAATGGCAAATCGCGCTTTGCTCAGTTGGCCCTGTGGACTGGCTAGAATGTGTAATTCGATGAATCGGCTGATGAGAAGATCGAGCAGTGCTGAAAATACAATCATACCGTGGGCCAAGCCGGCGTGAAGAGGCCTCAATCCCCCTTTGAAAGACGCGGAAGAACCATCAGTGGACCTTCATCAACCTCACTCGAGGCCCGAATCCATTCAAGATAAGCCGAGCCAAGCCGATTGACTTGCCCCACTCCGCGAGGACTTGAGGTGTTACATTTGCTTAGCCGAAGCTTGGCAGAAGCGAAATAAATATGGTATCAAGCTGAGGAGCTAGCTGTTGCTGCCGCTGGAACTTTTCGTCACGGACACAGGCTCCGTGGCGCAATGATTGCTGTATTGGCGAATAGCAGTAAGGCTGACTTCGTGAAGCAAACTATGGTTTCGAGATAGCCTGGACAGCCCCCGGCTCTGCGGCAACAACGCAGTTTCTGGCTTGGATCGTCTACCGAATTGCCGAATGGCCACATATCATATCAACTATTGCAGCGGCCCGGGATGGCAAAGTGACTGTTAAACTCTACACCTTCGCACCTTGAGAGAACTTCGCGGGGATCTTGAGTTTCTGCGGCAGCAAGTCTTGTTGGGCTCCCAGCCACCCCAACAGTGACTCCGCAATTTAGGTATCCCTCTCAAGCCCAACTCTCTGCACAATGCTCTTCGGCGACTACGGCTAGAGCTCCGGCGAATCTACTTGGACGGAGCGTCTACAATAGTACAACCCAAGCAGTCTTGCAGTCTTTTTTTTCTCGAGGTAACAAGTGCCACCTGCCATCGCGGGCCTCACATGGCGACTGCATATGAATGGGGAATCTGAGCTGACTTCGTGTATAGCCTCGGCAGCGGCGGTGGAAATCCTGCTCAACATGCTTGAAAAAAATGCCAGAGCATAAGAAGTACACTACTGCATATCGACGAGCATACACGAGACAGTGCTACCGATCTGCAGCGAACTTTATTGAAAGTCGCAGCATGGGACTTGTGTCTCTCACAATTAGCCCGCCTGGACTAGACTGCTCCGGATTCCCATTAATGTATATTGCTCATGCATCACGTTGGGTCTTAATGCGTTTGCTGCAGCAAGACAACTCTTTAGTTTCTGCCTTCTCTCCTGATTAGCAGTAGACCCAAAAGGTCGAAACCTCTTGGTCAAGCAAAATTCTGACTATCTAATCTCACGTAATCTCCACAATACTTCTGGGGCTATCGACCTTCACATGTTTTCGATAATACACTTTTCACAGTAGCGTATATCTCAGATCTTTCTACACTCATGCAACCATCTTCGCTATCACTGACTTTACCAAGACTGGGGACCAAAGGTCTCACCAGGGCCGACCGTTTTCTGGACGTTCAGATCTACACTGGCGTCTAGAGTGTTGAACACGTCAACATTTCCCCACCACTGGGGCACCTTGGTGTTTGTAAGCTGAATGGTGAAGAAAATTAAAATGGTGCAGACGGCAAGACCTATGTCCAGACCAGCTGAGGTGATATAGTTGTATTGCATCCACCAGCCGCGCCAGCGATTCTTGATCAGGCTATTGAACACGAACCCAACGGCGCCCCAGGAGAGGTATGAGAGTGGTGTTCCTGGAGGAATATACCCCGAACCTCCAATTAATAGTGGAGTGTTGATGTTTTTGAAGAAGCTGGACTTAGGCCACACTTTTGAGCATACGAAGACAGCAATCGGCAGGATAAGGCCAAGGAGGAAGAACCAAAGCACTGAGTTGTAAATCATGCCTGGATTGAAAATTCGAGCTGGCCCAACCAAGCCCCAAACCACCGAAGAAGTGAAGAACGTGTTTCCATAGGGGCATGTGAATTTGTTGACTTGGTCAACTGCACAGATGTTCGGAATGGCATTCAGGGCCCACCCATACACAGCAACCTGGACGAGGCTTCCCCAGAACGTGGCGACAGTTTGAGCCCAGAAAAGCGCCTTTGGCGGCACTTTCATGTAGTGGCCAAGCTTCAGGTCCTGGATGAATGCAAGGCCTTGAAACATTGTAATATATCCATATGTTTTGAAGAGCATCATTCCCAGTGGTCGGCCAGGTCGCATGTATCCAATGATGAACTCCGTGATGACACTTAAGCCTAGCTGAATATTGGAAATCGCCTGGATCATGCCTATGGGCACGATCCACACCGCCGGAATGATGAGAGACAGGACCAATGCCCACCATGGCAACTGCGAGTCCCAGACAAGACAGGTGATGAAGGCGAGGGCGAGCATAACTAAGAACATGGCCAGGTACCACCAGTCAGGGGCGTCCGGATACTTCTTGATGAGACGCATGTGAATGTCGTCTTCCTGGTCCCTGGCAGCTCGCAACCGCGCCCACAGATCCTTTCCGTTGAAAAGGGCGGTGTGCACAAGTACAGCGACAACTGTACCAAGTTGTAACCCGTAAGCAATCGCGTTGGTGGTGGAGACAAAGACAGGCGAGTATGCCTTGTACTTTTCGGCATCGAGAGTAAAGCCTGTGCCCAAGACACGGCTGACATTGTATGGAGCTCCAGTGTTGTCGTAAACACGTGCGGTGCTCATTGGAAGATATGCAGAGTACCAAGCTTCTGAGTAGTGGGCGATGATGCCACCTAGAATGACAAAGATAAACATGCCGGCCACCATGTTGGCGATTGCAGTCCAGGGAGGAATGAGAGGGCTGGCGAGGAATCCGCTGACGTATGTCCAGTCGAATGTGATAGGAATCAAAGATAAACCGGAAAATCCCCCGAAGAGCTGGTTGACAATGGGACTCTTTGGTTTGATCCACGTCGCAAATGCGAAGACGCTCAGGCCCTGGAACAGGACACCAGGAACCCAGTACCAGGCAAAGGCCCCTATCATGACGTAAAGAAAGTATCTGTAGCGGCCAATAACCCAACCGCTTTCCATTCCTGTGGTAGTCGGTGTTCTATCGTGGAGCGTGGTGAACAGCGTCGTATTGACGAGAGTCGCTGGCCAAATCATAGCAGCAGGCCACACGAGAAATCTTCTGCACAAACCCGCCATGCCATAGCCCATCATTTGGGTAGACACGATGAGCAGGATGCGGAAACCCCAGCCAAAACTATAGCCATAGAACTTTTCCTGCGTAAGGAGTAACTAGGTCCAATGAGTTCCATTCGTAGTCCCTTGATCATGGGGGAGACACATACCTCGGTACCGTATAGATATCCATTTCCAAATGATGCATTAGCCATGACGACGATGACAGTGTGCTCTTTCTTATTGAAGGGTCCTGGGTTCAATGACATCTTGTGGCCAAGGAGTGTGATCGTTTTGTCTGGCATCAGCCGCGCCCAGAGCACGCCCAACGGATACGCCACAAGTTGGGCGACGATTGAAGTAATGAAAATGCTCGGATTGCGGAGGGAGAAGAGCATATTGAGCCCGGAGCCAACGGTGGTCAGAATGAGCCCAATCACCCAGGCACGCAATGTGCTCGCGGGGACATCTTCATCCACAACTGGCACTGCAGCTTGGACCTCTACGGAGACTGCCGCCTGTTCGCCGGTTTTTATCTCAGCATCGTATGAAGATAGGACTTCGCCTACTTCCTGCTCCTTCTTGACGTCGATATGGGCTCTTGTTGCTATCTCGATGTCGAGATTCTCACGCCCCAGACCGCTTGCGTAAGCTGCCATATTGATATGCGTTCCCAAAGATTCGAAGCAAGACGTTTGAAAGTCGAGGGAACCAGATATCTCTGTGAAAGGAGTTGGATTTGTGGACTGAACTCGCGCCCATATATAATCCTACAATTGTCGGTGCTCTGGCCGTAGATCCCGAAGTGGAGACTGGCCAAAAGACGGGGCCCCACGGGGTTCACCGGCCCCAGTCTGGAGTAGCCAGCATGCTCGGCTTGTTCGGAACTTTTACCGAATGATCCGCTCTAAAACGGACTGTCACCGTGACTGGATCTCTGATATTTCACCTGATCTGCTTTGGTGACTGAACTCGGAATTGACAAGATCTTCTCGTCCTTAAGATGGATTATTCATTGGAAAATCACAAGGCATTCATTGGCAAACCCGCCTCTGAGCTGCCCACTCCAGCCTTTGTCGTCAGATTACCTGTGCTAAAAAATAACATAAAAAAACTTCATCGCGATGTGGAGGATTTAGGAATATCGTTTAGGCCTCACGTAAAAACACTCAAGGTGCGGGCATAATTTACCAAGATTACCATCTTTCGATCACTCACAATGCAATCTAGTCCATCGAGGTCACAAGATTAATGCTTGGAGAAGGCAAATATAGATCTATTATCGCGTCAACATTAGCCGAAATTAGAGGTGCGCTTCCCCTGGTTCAGGAGGGCATCTTGGATGAGGTAATAATATACTATGACCACAACACCCAAAACATAATCCTAAACAGGGACTACAGTGTCTTTACGGCCTACCCATCTACCAGGGTATTCTCCCCCAGCTAGTTGAGTTGAGAAAGTCAGTTCGCATTCTCCTCATGGTCGACAATGAACAGCAAATCACTCACCTCGAGAAAACCATTGGCCAAAACCCTTGGGACATCTTCATCAAGATTGATGTTGGCTCTCACCGGGCTGGTGTGCTCACTGCCAGCCCCGCCCTCCAACGTCTGATCCAACGCGCCGAGGCATCGCCGGCCGTCAACATCTACGGCATTTACTGCCATGCGGGACATTCGTACGGCGGTCGATCGCGCAACGATGCTGAAAGCTTGCTGCAAGTTGAAATCTCCAGTGTTCTTGAAACTGCAAAGCTTCTTCCTGTCAACCGAGGCGTTGTCGTCTCCATTGGCTCAACACCAACTGCGCATGTAGTGAAGAGCCTGAGAACCGCTGTACCGGCCAATGTGAAGCTGGAATTGCATGCAGGTCAGTATACCACACTATTGAAAACTACAAGTGCCCAGTATCACCCTGAGCCAACAAAACAATTTTGTAGGGAATTTCCCGTGCAACGATCTCCAGCAAATGTCTACTGGTCTTGTCACTGAAAGCGACCAGGCCTGTTACGTGGCGACAGAAGTCTGTAGCGTTTATCCGGAAAGAAATGAAGCTCTCGTAAATGCCGGCGTGATCGCTCTATCCCGAGAATCGAGCGCTTACTCGGGGTTTGGACGAGTGGTAGGCCATCCTGCCTGGGGCGTGGCGAGGCTGTCGCAGGAACATGGTATTTTGGGAACCGAGGACAAGGATCAAACAGTGAATGATGTGTTCAAGGTCGGAGAGCGGGTGGACTTGTATTGCAATCATGTGTGCATAACAGCAGCGGCGTTTTTCGTGTTCTATGTTGTGGACGAGAACAACGTTGTGAGAGATGCTTGGCTTCCTTGGAAGGGCTGGTAAAGATCAACAGAGGTGTGTTGTTTTCTGTTGCTCATTATTGTCATTTTTGAATCGAATTGTCCTCTGAAGGTAACCTGTCTACGGCATCCAGGTAGATAGGTCCGAGATCCTGTTTCTAGACTACCTGCTTTTTGCTTGTCGATGTAGGTACTGAATGATTCCCCAGATCTGGCGGATGCCTGGGCCAGAGCCAAGAGGTTTCGTCGCTCCCCGCTCCGCATTCCTTCCGGGAGGGATTTAATCATATTCCTCTCGTCATGGGTCCGCCACTCGCATGATGACTCGCGGTCCTTCCAGACGCAGTTCGAGCACGCGTTACGGAACGTATTCCTAAGCGTGAAACAGGGGCTTTGCTCTTCCTCACATGTTGTGTAATGGCTGGACATCTCGTTGCCCCAGGTGTGGTAGATCATAGATCTTGCTGTATCTCTGTCGCCATCCTTGAGCTTGAGGTAGATGTCCACTGGCGCTGAGTATGGTCCGTGATATAGCCACCGTGTTGAAGTTCGGTGGTATAGGGTAGGTTAGGATTTACCTACCCTATAGGTGTATAATATAACTAGCTATAGGCTCTAGCTATAGATAGAGATCCTTAGTTATAGTTATAAGATATACTCTTCTTTCTTAATTAAATTAATTTATCTTAATTCTTATTATTTTTTAAATTCTTAATTAAAAAATATAAGTTTAAAAGTATAAAAAATATATTTTAAGATATATATTCTATTAAATTTAAAAACTCTAGTTATTATTACTTATACTTTTAAGTTTTATAGTTTAATTATTATATAAAATAATAAAAGTCTTAATAAGGAATTTATAGAAATATTTAATAAAGAAAAAATATAAGAAATTATAAGAATTTTTATAAATATATTATATTTATATAAATATAATATTCTTAAGATTAAAATAAAGAGCTAATTAAATACTTAAACTATAAATTTATAGATTATTATTAGTTTAATTATTATTAAATAGTTAAATAATTAATAAAAAATAATAAAATATATTAATATAATTTTAAACCTTAACTTTTAATTAAATTTAATATCTTTAGATTTCTTTATAAGTATTATTATTCTATATTTATTTTTAAGATATAAGCTTATTAAAATAAAAGAACTTTTAAACTTAAGTTTTTTAATAGAAAATATATTTTAGAATTAAAATTTAAACTAAGTAATTATTTATAAAACTTTAATTATTTTTTAAACTTTTTTTTTTTAGAATTTTTACTATATATAAAAATATATTCTAAGATTAAACTATATATAACTTAATATATATTTTTTATTTTTAATTAATTTCTAGTTTATATTTAATCTTTTATTAGATAATATAACTAAATATATATAAATAAATATTAAATTAATATTAAATTTATATTATTTAATAAAAGTTTTCTATAATAATAAATATATTTTATTTATAGATATAAATTTAATTAATAATTTTAAATAATTAACTTTTTTTTTATTTCTAAATAAATATAATTTAAATTAAAATAAAATAAATTCTAATATATTAATACTAAGTTTATTAATATACTAAATATCTCTAACTAGTAGTTACTAGCTATAGGCTAGATATAGAGTAATTACTTAGTTATAACTACTCTAGAACTAGCTTTATAGCTAGTCTAGTTCTATAGCTAGAATAATAACTTAATTAATAATCTATTTTATTTATAAGTATATACTTTAGAAAAGCTTTCTAATACTAATTAGTAGTTATATAATAGCTATAGATTAATAAAGAAAAAAAAAAAATTCTAAATATTTAGAAAAATATAGTTTTTCTATAAATATTAGTTTTATACTATAGAACTATATATAATATATAATATAATAATATTATTATCTTTTATATACTTTAAATAATTATTTTAAAGATTATTTATTTCTCTAATAATATTATTAATATTAGAAATACCTTTAAAAAATATTTTATTATATATATTTTCCTATTAATATAAATAGAAATAATTAATAAGATTATTTCTCTTTTTAATTACTTATATCTTAAGAGTTTATTCTTATAAAATACTCTTTTTTTTCTAATTTTAAAAAAAAAATAAGAAATTCTTTATATTTCTATTTTATTATTACTCTAACTTCTCTATATTCTATTAGAATTCTTCTAAATAGAGATTCTTATTTTTCTAATAAGAATAGAACTCTATATATCTTTACTACTAAATCTACTATATATTCTAAAATCTATATTCTAAGTAAGTATAATAGTATTATTAATATAAATACTATTTATAGTACTTCTCTTAAAATATAATAAGATAGAAAAAATCTTTAATATAATTAAACTAATAAAGATCTATTTTAATACTATTAACTAGATAAACTAATTAATTTTAATAATTTAGATTATTATTTTTAAACTTATTAATATATATATAGTATATTATATATACTATTATAAATATATTAATCTATATAGTAGTAATTTATTAAGTAAGTTTATATATAACTTTAAAAGCTAGTTATTAGAAAAGTTTATATTTCTAAATATTAGTATTATTAAAAAGTTAAATATATATTATAATATAGTAATATCTTTATTAAATCTCTAAATAATATCTTTAAAATAGCTTTTAATAATATATAAAAACTAGAAAATCTATTAAAATAACTAAGAAACTTATAATTCTTTATAAATATTTTTAATTTAGACTTTTAGATATTTTAATTATAGAAATAATATAAAAAAGCTTAAGGATATATATTATTAATACTATAATTATTCTAAAAAAAAAATATAATCTATATAATTAAAATTAATAAAATAGAAATATTTTAAATAAATATAGATTTAATTTTATAAATATCTCTATCTCTTTAGAACTTAATTCTAAATTAGTAATTAGAAGATTATATATTTAGATTATATAACTTATATTATAATTTTCTATTAAAAAATAATCTTAGAATAAGTACTATATCTATATAAAAACTTATAATTTTTTAAAAACTTTATAATTTAAAAGAATATTTATTTAGAGAAGAACTATATAATATACTTAATATAAAGATTAGAATAATACTAAATATATATAAATTCTATAATATATAGCTAAATAGATTTAAAATTATTCTTTTTTAAATTCTTAAAAGAAGTATATAAAACTTCTAATTCTAATATATTAAGAAAGAATATATATTTAAAAAAATATATTTTAAACTAAAGTAATACTTTAATAATACTATTAATAAGTAATAGTATTATTATAACTAGATTTAGACTAATATTATTTTAATATAAATAAATAAAAAGAATAAAAATCTTATAATATATTAAATACTATAGAAGATTTTTATAATTTTTATAAGAGTTTAGAAAGTATTTAGAGATAATTATAAAAGAAATAATAATCTTAAAAATATTATAATAAAAGTATATAAAAACTTAAAGAAATTAGAAATAGTACTCTAAAGAGAATATATAAATATTAAAGCTTTTATATAAAGCTTTATATTAACTCTAAAAATAAACTTATTAAAATAGTTAGAATAAAGTTTAATAATCTTAATAACTTAAAATATAATAAAAGATATATATTTTATTAATTAGTAATATAGATATATTTAAAAACTACTAAATAAAGTATAATAATAATTTTATTACTTTTTAAATATAAAAAGAAAAACTATTTAATAAAGATTTTACTAATTAAAATTAAAAACTATAATATAATAGCTAGAGAAAATATTATTTTATTTATAATAAGCTTAAGTATTAATTAATAAACTATCTATAGTAGAGATCTAAAGTATATTACTAATTTATAACTAAGTTTCTTAAAATAAAAGAGAAAGTAGAAGAGAATAATATATTAAAAGAATTTAAATAATAAATTTAAAACTAAAAAAAGATTAATAATTAATTTAAAATAGTAGATTATAAAAATTCTAATAATTATAATAATCTAAATAAGAAAGATTAATATATAAATAATAATAAATAATAATTAATATAATATTTACTTAATAAAATATTTTAATATTTACTCTCTAAAGAGAAAATCTAAAAAGAATTATAAAATCTATTATAATTTCCTATTAAAAAGAGATATATAATATAATTCTAAAGAATTATACTAAATATAGATATATTATTTATTTTAATTATAAATAAATTATAATTTAAAATATTCTAATAAATTAATTTATTAATTAAACTAAATACTATAGTTAATATAAAAAGTATTAAGTTTAAAAAAAAGCTTATAGAGTTACTTAGTATAATAGAGCTATATATTCTATTTAGATCTATTATATTTTATATAATAAACTTAAAAATCTCTTTTTTAATATATTTTTATAATATAAACTATCTAAATATTAAGTTTAGAAATATAACTAATAAAGTAATTAGAACTATAGATAATCTTTTTATTCTAATTATAAGGAAATAGAATTATATATAGTTCTTCTTAGAGTATATACTAATAGCTAATATAGTTTATTTAATAGAATTAGAATTAAAATAGTTTTATTATTATTTTAACTACTTATTAATAGAGAGATTATATTAACTTCTAGAGAGAGTAGATTATAGAGATATAAATAAAAAGATAATAAAAAAGATTAAATACTTCTATTACTAGTATTAGATTTATAATCTAATTCTAAGATATTTTAGATTTAAATTATAGAATAATTTTAATTTTAATTATAAAATTATAATTAATATTATATATCTATTAAATTAAAAATCTATTTTATATATTATATATATAATAACTATATTTTAAAATATAATATTCTTTAAAAATATCTTAGTAGAAACTATATAGAAAATATTAAAAAGAATCTAGTTAGATATCTATTTAGAACTATTAAACTATATTATATATAATATAGAAATCTAATTTATAAATAACTAATTTTATATAAATATTAGAATTATTAGTTCTAAGTATAAATAAATACTAATTAAGATCTATTAGTTAATTAATAAGATTAAAAGATATTATAAACTAT